GCGTCGGGGCCTTGTGGGTCATTGCGAGTGATAACTTCAGGGACGCGTTCACGGGACGTTGTCTAGAGTTTGCATCCCCTCCTCTCCCTTTAAAGTATATCCTAAATGGGAAATTAACCTCGTAAAGTTCAGACCAGATGGAACATGGTTCCCTGGCAGATTCTGGGCTCTGCATCCTCAGGGTCTTTACGAACCAATCAGCTGCTGGGATAAGAGACATATGAACGAGGAAGTAGAGGTTTAACCGTTTATCTTCTCTTTCTTTCGATTAAGCCCCCCACTCCTCTGCCATGCCAGTGTTAATTTCATTCCTCTCTGCCGGAGTTGCTCATTATCTCTGAAAAGGTAGATATTACTGCTTTTATCTTAAATCAGCTACTTTAAAGCAGTGGATCTCAAATTTGGGGTCCATCAGAATCACCTGGAGGGCTTGTTAAGTCACAGATGGGAGCAGCCCGCCTGCTCATCAGGAAGGACCAGTTAAAGTATATCCACACTGTGGAATACTATACAGCGGGGGAAAAAGGAATGCAGGTGTTCCCTGTGAAACTAAGAAAATCTCTGGGGCTTATTAGTTGAAAAACCAAGGTTCCGAAGAGGGTGTATTTCGGGCTACCTGTTTGTGTGTAAAAAAGAGCAGGGGAGGTAGACAACAAGTCCTCTATTTACATTTGCTTCTGTTTGTATAAAGAAATCCTAAAAGCTACGTAGCAAAACTAAAGAACGTTGTTGCCTGTCTTGGGGGTGGTGGGAGTCCTGGGTGGGTAGGGGCAGCGGTGGAAGGAACCATGCAGCTGTGTCCCACTCCATGCCTTTGGTTTCTGAGCTAAGTGACTGTATACTATTTAAAAAACTTAAGTCTTAAATAAAAATGGGGCTGGATATGGATGCGCGGGTTGGAGAGAACGGCGAGGGCTACTCCTGCTGGAGCAGGACGACTGCAGTGTCTCGTCCGGCTCGCTTTCCAGCCCACATCCCTCTCTTTAGCGCCAGATCCCCAAGTCCAGTTGCTTGCTGGGCGGCGTTACTTGGCTGTCTCCCTGGTTCCGTGGGGCCCAGGTCCCTGACCGTCCACAAGCTTTGTCTCTGGTCTCGTTCTTGTCAGGCGGCATCACTGCCTGCTTGCTCACCCGCAGGACTCCTCGTTCTTCCCTCCCGTCCTCCACAGCAGGAGGTCTGCAAGGGCCGTCCTTACCCCTCAGGGCCTCTCCCCTCCCCCAGCTGCCGGTGTCTCGGTTCAGGCGCTGGCCTGTACGCCTCACTTGAAGGCTGTTTCCCCGGCCCTCTCTCGCATCACCCTCCAGATTGCTTCCTTTCCTAAAACTGGGCAGTGGTTTTGAGCGCTGCTTATGTGATGACCTTTGTGCCTGGGCACTTTTGTGGTCTTGCCCCATTTGCTGGACTCTGACAGGAAGTGGTGGTCCAGCTCTTCTTAACTGGGCAGCAGCACTCCCACCCCCAACTTTGCCAGGGTGTCTCACGCCCCCTGCCTCTGCTGTTTGGTTCCTGGCAGGACTTTCCTGGCCCTGTCCTGCCCCACAGTGGTGTTGGGTTAGATGTCTGTGTCAGGATTGAAGTCAAGAGTGACGGAAAACTCAGCCCAATAGAGGCTTAAACAGGATAGTCTCCGTTTCTCTTGCATAACTAAGATGCAGAAAGGCCGAGGTGGTTAGGGGCTCCTCCTGACTTCTGCAGTCCTCATGGTCCAAGATGGCTGTCGGAGCTCCAGCTGTCACATAAGCATTCCTTCCC